GGGGGGGGGGGGGGCTATGATGCAGTTTACTTGGCATCTGAAAATACACTTCCTCAAAGGCTCCAGCCACCCTAAAATAGGCCCAGTGATGCCACTGGTGACCAGAAGACATGCTGATCCCTTTGATGATGGCAGAGCAGCAACTTTATTTAGAGCTCATGTGGAGCTCTTCTCCCCATCTGTTAAACTGAGCCCAGAGAAATGAGAAATTAATTTAAGATACTGCACAGAAGTACCTTTTCCAGCCCATGACCAGAGTGCCCTTCCTCAATGACAAGACTTGTGAGATGTTCACAGTTTGACCCAGCCCAGCATTCATTCTGTGAAGGCAATGGCCACTGAAGTTCCACACCTGAAAATCAAACAAACTGATTATTTAAAACGGTGTCCAAAGTTGGTCCTCAAAGGCTGGTGTCCTGCATGTTTTAGGTGCTACCCTGGTTCAACACAGCTGAACCTAATGAGTGCCTAATTAGTAGGCTTCCTCATTATGCCGTCAAGGTCTGCAGAGGCCTACTAATTAGGCACTCCTTAGGTTCAGCTGTGTTAAACCAGGGCAGCTCCAAAAACATGCAGGACACCGGCCTTTGAGGACCGACTTTGGACACCACTGATTTAAAGGGATCTACGATTAGTTATAACATTAGACTTCAATTAATAAACATATATTTTAACTGTAAAATAAAGACTGTAAAATACTGTAGGATGTTCAGCGTTTATCATTTTAAACTAAAAGTTGAAAAATATATGACACGGATGGGGCCATTTTATTTACACGCAAAGCATTCTGGGTAAATGATGACACTGATAGGTCATCAATGCGAGGCTGCTAGTGAGCTATATCCACCCTGAAGGTTAATCTTGGACAATATCTGACAATTGACTCTTTTAAATGATACCAGAGAGCATCGACAGAGAGGGGAACGCAAAAATGACTCAGCCTGTAACTGAAAATGTGGATGGAGGACCTCATTTTAGCTTGTTTATCGCGCTAACGCCGAGCAAATACATATAAGGCCATATAGCGTCAGTGCCAGCACAAAGGCTAGCAGGCTAAGCTGAGGTTCTTCTTCCATGAAGCAGCTCTGTTGTCCTCCATCCATATTTTAAGTTACAGGCTGAATCGTTTCTACCTTCTCCTCTCTGTCAACGCTCTCTGGTTTCATTTAAAAGAGTCAATTGTCAGATATTGTCCAAGATTAACCTTCAGGGTGGATATAGCTCACTCACACCAATGACCTATCTACATCATCATTTACCCTTTGCGTGTAAATAAAATGGCTCTGTCCGTGTTAAAATATATTTTTAAAAAATTACGAAACTAAACATCCTACAGTAATTTTACAGTTTTTATTTTACAGTTAAATATATATGTTTTTCAAATAAAGTCTAATGTTACAACTAATCAGGGATCCCTTTAAAGTTTCATTACGATGAAGGTCCTGAAACTCAAAAACAACAGGGTCAACATGTCGACCTGTTCTTTTACAAATAGTTTACCAGATAAAGCTTTTAAAAAGACATCTGTCTTTATGTCTATGCACAAATACTGTAATTACTCTCAAAAGAAGCAAAACTGATCACATTCTTTAATGACTGATGACAACAGAATAAAGTGAGATTTAATGTTATTACTCTGCAGCACATTAATCCACTGTGACAGCTCAGTTAATATTTCTCACTGTCTCGCTACAACTTTGCATGATGACGCAGTTTGTGCCCGTGTTTATGGCATTTAACAAAGACCCACTGATTGGCTCAATGGGAACACTGTAATTAAAAGGTCAAAATTTCAAATTCTGAATGGTATTAACTGCTACGCCATGGGTTTCAGTGTTGATGAAAATTGGAGAGATGATGCTTTTTTTTTCTCCCTCCCCTAATTGGCCCAAAGGGGGGCCCGTTTCWTCTGCTGAGGATGACATGTGGAGACGTTTCAAATGGCAGTGTCAGTATTTCTAACGCCGCTCGCACATGCGTAGGACGCACAAGGCTGCACTCTCACAAGAGCTCATGGGGCCAGAGCCGATGTGGTTGATTGTATTGATTAATTACAAAATGCATAATTATTCTATTTGTTTGTTAGGTCTGGAGTTTATTATGCAGCGATGAAATTTGTGAAACAATAGAGCACCTTGTATTTAAAATGTGCAAATTTGAAAGCAGAAGATGATAAGCAAGGCATAATTTTGTTGCATGTTTACAAATTTAAGCACAGTGTTAATATTGYTGTGTTAGTGTTGATACTTTCTGTCAATTCTTTTTGCATTTTAGTTTTGTCTCTAGTAAGTGACACACACTGAGTGGGCTGTGATTAAACTATCCTTCAATGAAGAACAAAAACAGAATCATAGCAGTTTTCCTTGGGAAAAAAACTGACGTTTGCTGCATGATTTAGGTCATTGTTCATCTGAATATTCTAATCAACAAAACAACATTTGGCCACACTGAAGCAGCCGGTATTTCCCTGAAAACAGGCCACAATTCATCCAGCTGCTTCTGTCTTTGGACGTAGCATCGATAATGACCAGCAAAACAGAAGTGCTCTCCCTTTTCAACACCAGGTCTAATCATGCTTTTGTATTCTAGGGTCTTTGAAATGTTTTGCACCTTGTTTGTTATAATGAAGTTTTCTCTCAGCAAATTGTTTTTTTTACGATGAAACGGCAGAACATTTTGTCACTGTTCATGAGCTCAACCTTTAATATAGAGAGGGAAGATACTGAAAGAAAAAAAACATTATTATTAATTTTGATGGGATTTTCTCAGGAACACAAGTCGACTAAATCAAATAATTGTTAGTTATTAAAGGGAAATTAGCTTTTCTTTCCAATTTAGGAAATAAAAGCAAGCTTTACTTCAAAATGGAATGAAAACAGATTTATGAATATGTTTTTTTAGCCTTTTTAAATCTGAGTCTAGTGTTTTTGTTTGTTTGTTTGTTTGTTTGTTTGTTTGTTTGTTTGTTTGTTTGTTTGTTTGTTTGTTTGTTTGTTTGTTTGTTTGTTTGTTTGTTTGTTTGTTTGTTTGTTTGTTTGTTTGTTTGTTTGTTTGTTTAGTTTGGGACTTCTATCAATCGTCAGCCTGTGGTAATGTCCCAACTGCAATATTCTGTCAACCTAGTGTTGCCTCATCCTCCATCATCTGGGTCTACTGCTACTCGCCAGTTCAAACCAACCCACAGAATGAGACTGTGGGAAATGCTGTTGGGTCAATTTTAATATTGAAGAAATTTATTAGTCATGTTAGATACTGATTTTAAAAGCACTACACCATTTTCTTAGTTTTCATTTTTAAGTATTGACTTTTATAATCTGTTGTTGGACTATTGTTATGTCTTGATTAAAATAGTTTAGATGCATGCCTGAAATACCATAACAACACATAAAAAAACCATTAATCAAACATAAGGACGGTTATTTTGTCTGAGTGTCTGCGATTCAGCCRTAGGCCAGTAGTGGGCGTACCAGGCGCTGAAGAACATGTATAAATATGCTGGAACTTCCGGTTTCTTGTCAGCGTTGCCTGTTCTGCACAGACAGATTAAACCGGCGTTCTCTCCCGTCACTGGTGTCGTATGGTTTCATTCTCATCACATTTAATCTATTCAACATTTATGTGGTTTCGTCTCAATTTCAGTTAACGAACACTAAATTTTCTTACAGTTTCATGACAATTAAATGAGGTTGCTACAGTCATACTACACAATCTATCAACATAATTACTAAATCCTTGGCATTGTTGGAGAAATTAAACATTGCAAGCTTCAGTATCAGATTTATAAATAGGCAATGTTGTGATGTTCTTTTACAGCCACTTGTCTCAATACGGGGAAATGCAAGGCACATAGTTTGTTTTCATGTGTGTGTGCTTTCACTGACTTTGACTTCTCCATCAGCGCCTGCGGTAAACAGCCGGGTCTGCGTACCATCCAGGCCCATGGTGGAGATCTCCGCATTCCCGTGGCAACGGTTGAACTGTTTGACTTTTTGGCCCGTGTCTGCCAGCCAGCAGATCACAGAGGAAGCAGAGTCACTGCTGACTACCTGCAGAGGGAGAGATGGATGAGACTGAACRTCAAACAATGAGAGTCTGATCGAGACGATCTCGCTCATTCATTTACATGTATTTGAAATTATTTCATGCAATATTGTGAGATGTCATACGCAGAATGTTTGCATACTGTGATAGACACTGAGCTAAGACTACATCAAACTTGAGCACAGTATTTGTTAATGGGATCCCCTGTTAGTTGTAACATTAGACTTTATTTGATAAACATATATTTTAACTGTAAAATAAAGACTGTAAAAATACTGTAGGCTGTTTAGTTTTTATCATTTTTAAACTAAATTTTAAAAATATATTACACGGACGAGGACATTTTATTTACACGCAAAGCATTCTGGGTAAATGATGACGTGGATAGGTCATCGGTGTGAGGCTGCTAGTGAGCTATATCCACCCTGAAGGTTAATCTTGGACAATATCTGATGATCGACTCTTTTAAATGAAACCAGAGAGCGTTGACAGAGAGGAGAAGGTAGAAATGACTCAGCCTGGAACTGAAAATATGGATGGAGGACCTCAGTTTAGCTTGTTTGTTTGTAGCCTTCGCGCTAGCACCCAGCTAATTCATATGAGGCAGTATAGCGTCCGCGATAGAGCGAAGGCTAACAGGCTAAACTGAGGTTCTTCTTCCATGAAGCAGCTCTGTTGTCCTCTATCTATATTTTCAGTTACAGTCTTTATTTTACAGTTAAAATAAATGTTTATCAAATAAAGTCTAATGTTGCAACTAATCGGGCATCCCTTTAAATAGAGTGAATTATTGCCATTTCTGTGTGTTCCAAAATTGCTTGGCTGTGGCAGCCATCTTGAATTGTATTGATTCTAAAAGTTAATTTTGTGTAGAAGTACAACCGTTGATTATTTCCTGAAAGTTTCAATGGGTAGAGTTGACTGCCAATTTTTTCGACTAAGATTAAGCATGATTTGTAGTTGCTCAGAATATATGGTGAGTATCAGTCTCAGCTACTACCACACCAGATTTTAGTGCAATATCTGTAAAATCGAATCAGATATGGCCACTTTTACATTTGAGAAGGTCAGACTGTGGAAGCCATATAAGATCAAGATGACTCCTAAAGGTAATCAGTTGTAGATGCAGTGACTAGCTTTTGGAAGTTCCACTGAAATTCATCCAATGTTTCATGAAGCAAAATCATTATCACCAGCATTAACCTTTGAGCAATGGTAATAACCAGTGAGCACCATGTCAAACACAGCATATACCTGTCTGAACAGACTGTTATAAAGCACACAGGTAACCGGGTGCTCATGGCTGCTGGACCTCTTCTCCTTCAGGGCCTCCAGCAGGAGCAGCTGGCTGTTCAAGGAAAACAGAAGCTGCCGATGCTCCTCTTGGTAAAACAGGAGCACATGATGGTCCTCCTGGGATGGTCCTCCACACTTTGGGAAGAATCCAGCCACATGCTGAACACACAGCTGGCTGGGCACATCCCACAGACACAGCACCTGGACACAGGACAAAATAAAAGGCTTTTTTAGCTGCTTTAAGATCCACGCGTGGTCAAATTTTTAAGGTCTAATTTGATGTCAGTGTCCTAATTTACAAACAAATGCAGTCACTGCCGGCAACAGTTGAACTCTGCCACGTTTCTTTCCGGTACAAAACTACACAACTGGTGCCAAAGCAGGAAGCCCTCAGGAGAAAAATCGAGGTAAAGCCTTCTGAGTTTCTTGCTTTGGCAGATGGTGTTTGAGCAAAGGGCAGATGGAGCATAAATCACCTCTAAAATATTCATTCTCTTCAGAAAACCTAAAGAGAAGGCAAGCATGCAGAATGCTACAACGGGGAGAGGAGAAGCAGCACAGGCTCAAATGTCCTCTACATCAGAATGAAGATGAGTTCAAAGGAAACATGGTCTTTACTCAGAGAAAATCTAGCTCTTTTTTTATAACAACACAGTGGAAACCACAAACTCCTTCATCTAAGTTAATTATTACAAGAAATACAAGTTAAAGCCAGGATTACACAGCTTTTTTATCTTTACATTATCTGTTTCACACACTCGCAGCACATAGACATTTGCCTACCTTATCTTTGGCATAGCTGAACAGTTGCTTCTTGGTTTGCAGGAAACTAACAGCGATGACGGGGCTCGAGTGCCCGATGAGAGCGCACACTGGCTTAGAGGCCACGTAAGGGTTCCACAGCAAGACCTGATGATCCACACCTGCTGTGGCTGAAAGCAGTGTTAATAGCGTGTGTGTGAGGTACAAGACTTTGTACACAGCCAATTACTCAGTGTTTGATGAGGCGTGTGACAGTATGGGTCGTGTAATTTTGATTGATTGTGAACTGCGGTTGCTCGAAGGTGCAAGGCATTACAGCGTTGTGACACAAACACAGCACGCACTTGTTTCTTGTACCCATTTTATCCTGTTCAGGGTCACAGAGTGGCTAAAGCCTGTCCCGGTAAGTCCACAAGCGAGAGGCGAGGGACAGCATGGACATGTCATCGGTTCATTACAGAGACACACCCAAGGATAATTTAGAAAACCCTAACGTGAATTCTCCTTTGCTATTAAAATGCAATGTTATAAATCCAAACAGAAGGAAGAAATTCTGTTTCTCTTTTGTAACCTAATGCACCGTTAGGAAAAGCCAGGGAAAAAAAACACAAGCCGCTTGTTGCTTTTAGTGATGGTTGGGTGAAAACAGGACAAAAGTTTTTTTTTTAAAAAACCAACAACTTTTTTAGCAAAAGTAATTCTTCAGGTCTTGCTGCCTGAGGAAAAACTAAGTGCAGGTGGTTCAACAGGGAAAACTAGAGGGACAGGAAGGGGACCACACATCCAACCACGAACAACAACGTACAAACAATGAACTGGGCCTCATGCAAGAACATGTTCGTATTCTTATCCTAAATTTCTCTTACTTTTGTTCGTACAAAGGGTTCGTACGAACATGTCAYGTCAGATTCAACAAACTCTTCTATCTTCAGGAAAAGTGCGTAAATGAGCTGCGTAAATTCCACCTGTTCTATCCAGCTGCTCGTGCACGCGAGAGGAG